AGCATAACCTTTTTTCCCACCTATTGTGTTTTTCAGGACTTGCAAACTCAGAGGATGATTGGGAGTATCCATGAGGCGAACGGAATATACTTGTTGGACACACTGGATCGAGCTTTGGGACCACCTCATGGAGTTGTCTTAGAGTCAGTCTTGTCAGAGTCTGTTAACAAAATCTTGTTATGTCACTTTCGATTTGGTCATTTGTCATTTTCTGCTTTGAGTCATTTGTTTCCAGATATGTTTAAGGGAGTGTCTTTATCGAGTCTTCATTGTGAGTTGTGTGAACTGGCAAAGCATTGTAGACATTCCTATTCAGTAAGCAATAAAAGATCCCTTTCTCCTTTCCATATTGTTCACTCTGATGTGTGGGGGCCATATCATTTGCCAACTATGGGGGGTTACAGGTACTTTATCCTTTTTATTGATGACTATTCGCGTTACACTTGGATTTATCTCATGAAATCTAGGGATGAAGTACCAGCTATTGTGCAAAAAGTTCATGAACTCATCCTCACCCAGTTTAACACTCGTATCAAAATATTCCGTTCTGATAATGCAAAGGAGTATTTTGAGAGAACCGTCTCCACCTATCTTGAAACTTTTGGGGTTATTCATAAAAGTTCTTGTTCCTACACTCCACAACAAAACGGGGTGTCAAAAAGGAAGAACAGACATGTAGTTGAAGTTGCCAGATCACTCTTGTTTGCATCCCATGTTCCTATAAAATTTTGGGGAGATGTTGTTCTTACTACTACTTTTTTTATCAACTGTATGCCCTCCCGGGTCCTTGACTTTAAAACCCCCTTTAGCCTTCTCTTCCCGGATGCAGATATCTTTTCTCTTCCTCTCAGTGTTTTTGGGTGCACTTGCTATGTGTATATTCACAGTCATCACAAGCACAAGTTTGAACCTAAGGCTTATAGATGTGTTTTTCTGGGATATGCTTCCACACAAAAGGGATATTGCTGCTTTGATCTAGTTCGTGGCACCCGTTTTGCATCTCGGGATGTCACCTTTGCTGAGTTGACTCCTTTCTTTAGCATTCCTCCTGAGGGGGAGAAATCTGAAGAGCCCTTTGCTATGCCTCCAGTTGTTCCTCTTCCCATTCCTCGAGTCCTATCATGAGGTGTCCACCTCTACCACTGGACCTACCTCCGATATTCCTATTCCTCCTCCTCCTGTTCTCCAAAGGTGGTACCAAAGGCAGAGATTCAGACATGGGGAGGTTGTTTCCACTCCTTCAGAAGAGCCTCTTGCTCCTCCCATCATTCCCGAGGTAACAGGTCAACCTTCTTCTGACCCATCTACAACTTTCCCAGACCTTGACCTTCCTATTGCTCTCCGCAAGGGCAAGCGGAAGTATATAACCCATTTATCTCCAAACACCTGTTTTACAGCCTTCTCTCTCCTTCCTACTACTCTTTTCATGCATCTGTTTCTTCCCATGTGATACCCAAGTCCATACCGGAAGCCTTATCTCAACCTGAATGGAGGAATGCTATGATGGCTGAACTGGATGCTTTGCATAAGAACCATACCTGGGATATTGTTGACTTGCCTAAAGGGAAGGAACCAGTGTGTTGTAAATGGGTGTTTACCATTAAATGTCACTCTGATGGCTCTATTGAGAGGTTTAAGGCTAGGTTGGTTGCTAAGGGCTACACTCAAATGTATGGCATTGACTATCTTGAGACATTTGCTCCAGTCGCTAAGATGACCTCAGTCAGGGTTTTGTTATCTCTAGCCGCTACTTTTGACTGGCCCCTACACCAGTTTGATGTTAAAAATGCCTTCTTGAATGGCGACCTGCATGAAGAGGTCTATATGTCTTTGCCTCCAGGGGTGTATGGGAAGGAAATGCAAGGCAAGGTGTGTAAACTACAGAAATCTATTTATGGTCTCAAACAGCCTCCTCGGGCTTGGTTTGAGAGGTTTAGGGTTGCTCTTGTCTCCTTTGGCTACACATAAACTCAATCTGATCATACCCTGTTCTTGAAGAGAAATGGCTCTCTGGTTGATGATATTGTGGTCACGAGTAATGACACTCACGAGGTCAATAAACTAAAGAGGTTTCTCAACTCAGAATTTGAGATCAAGGATTTGGGAGATCTTCGATATTTTTTGGGCATTGAAGTTGCTAGATCTAAGGATGGTATCTTCATTTCTCAGCAAAAATATGTCCTTGACCTCCTTGCTAAGACTGGTAAACTTGGAGCTAAACCAATCTCCACTCCTATTGATCCTAATCATAAGCTTTCTACTACAGATGGTGAGCTTTTATCTGATAAGGGGGTGTTTCAGAGACTGCWYGGKAAGTTGTTATAYCTTTGCATGACTCGGCCAGATATTTCCTATGCAGTAAGTGTTATTAGTCAATTTATGCATTCTCCCAAAGATACTCATTTAGCTACTGCAGAAAGGGTGTGTTACTTGAAAGGTGCTCCAGAGAAGGTATTTTATTTGCTAAACATGGACACATGAAGCTGGAAGCTTTCACTGATGTTGATTGGGCAGGATGTATTGATGATAGGAGATCCACCTCAGGTAATTGTGCTCTGGTTGTTGAGAACATTGTGTCATGGAGGAGTAAGAAACAATTTATAATTGCTAGATCCTCAGTTGAAGCAGAATACAGGGCAATGGCACATGGTGTGTCAGAATTACTGTGGCTACGATCTCTTCTAGAAGAATTGGGGGTTGACTACAAGAAGCCAATGATGCTCTACTATGACAACCAAGCAGCTATCAGCATTGCACATAATCCTGTTCAACATGACAAAACTAAGCACATTGAGGTTGATAGACATTTTATAAGGGAAAGAGTTTCCTCAGGAGAAGTTTGTTTGCCATTCATCACATCAGACGAGCAATTGGCTGATATCTTGACCAAGGGAGTTCCAAGAGGGAAAATGACACACTATATAAGCAAGCTGGGCATGATTGACATCTATGCTCAGCTTGAGGGGGAGTGTAAAGAGACTGGGCCGAATGGGCCCTAGTATATTCTCTTGTAATATCATTTCTTTTATTGTTGGCTAATGGGCCTCTGTTAATGGGCCTGTTATTTCTTTTTGTTTAATCTCTTTATGTTACTGCCTAGCTGGCCGCCCACTTAAGGGCATACTTGTCATTACTTTAACTTTAATTCTTATAAAAAAAGGGTTAGAGGAGAAAGGAGAGATGATTCGATTTCTTCTTCTTCTTCCTTCTCTTTTCGCCATCTTCTCTTGCATTGCTGCTCTTACTTCTCTTCTTCCTTTCCTTCTAATCTTCAAATTTACACCTAATATTTGAGGACTGATTTGCATCTTTATGCAATCTCTGCCCATGTTTATACAATTTGGGTAAGAAGAATAGTTCGATTGCGGAGAAATTTTTATGTTAATCAAGGCAGAGAAACTTGGAGTCCAAAATTCAAAAGATCTCTTTGTGATTGGGAAATTTGGGAATGTGTGGAGTTACTCCCAAAACTACAATCAGCTGAATTGCAAGTAAAAAAGGAGAGACTCAAGATGGTGGAAAAAATCCAGGAATGGTTTGTTTTAAGTCAAATATTTATAGAAGGCCTTGCTAAGAAACAAAGGAGAAAGAACTGAATTAAAGGGGGGAAACCCTATTCTTCTAGGGGTGGAAACTTTTGCTTGGCTAGTGGCATATTCAGAGTAGAGCCTTTCGCTTGACCGGTAGGTGCTACTTATGTAAAAATGCAGGGAGAATGTTCTTCACTTGTTTATTGGATGCCCTACATTAGATTTGTTTGTCACTTTTCTTTGGTCTCTTTAAAGCTAGTTGGGTGGAACCTAGATCGCCAAAAAAATTTTTTGTTCAAAGGCAAAGTATGAGAGGAATTATCAAGGTAAAAATTAATTGTAGCTGAAATTTGAAAACAAGAGATCAAATCATTCTTATTTGTGGGAAAACAATTACTGACTGGGTTCTCATTCTTCCAGAGTTTGACAGGGTTTTAAAGGAAGATCTTGGTGTTAGTATCTGGATTCTTCTTGAGTTGAACTAGATCACCCTGTTTCTACTTTTTTTTCTTCTTGTACATCTTTTATGAGCTTTTTTTTTTTTTTTTGCTTGGTGATCTCTCATCACCGTTCAGTTTTACTTCCTTTTTTATTAGTAAATAACTTGAAAAAGAGATTAGACTGGGGGTATCTTGATCTGTTAATGTACATATGTTTGATTATATATAGTCGGTTTGGCTTTTAACTGTTTTGAAACAACCAAAACCAATCCGGACCCAATTACCACTGGATACATGATTCAGATCCAAGCCCTATATAATTGGGTCAGTTCTATCAGATCTGTTCAACCAGTTGACAACCTTACTTCCTTTTTGGATTATTGATAGACCTGCTTTAACTCTGACTTCCTATTAATATCTTGAAACCAACTTCATGTAAGGAGCAGAAACAGAGGCTACATTATTAACAGACAATATGTGCCAATGAAAGGTAGAAGTACAAAGGAACACAAAGGAGTACATTGTATTCTGACAAAGAAACTTAGAGCCCCTTTAAAGTTTCCAAGATTTCTACTAAAGCAGAAACGCGTAGAAATGCATGCAGATGCCAAGAGCTCAATAACTACAAGTAGCTAGATATCAGAAAACATGATGCTTGAATGTGCTCAACAAACTATTTCTTAAAATAGAGTAGCACTGTTACAAATTCTGCAAGAAATTGCAACTACAAATTTTATGTCATTTCTATTAATAACTGACAAAGGAGTTTCATAACCAAGGCTGACTAGGTACAGTCTCCTAATACACTCCAACAACAAAAAGAAAAACTCTAACCTGGGAGGCTGGCAAAATTTTGAAACTTGCAGAAATGGGGCCCTAGGTCTATTTAAAATGTAGTAGACTTAAAGGATGGAGGTAACAGAAATATGTTGTATCATGCAGCAAACCAATATTATCTCATCCTTCACCATGGTTTGAACAGAAAGGTCATGGTTGAAATGAAGGAAAAACTAGGGATGCAAGTACATACCCAGTTTCAAGGACCGTTGTTGGATAAAAGTTCCTAAAGTCATCCGCTGATGTATCTGGCCAACCAAGAGTGCTGAAGGGCCAAAGTGCACTGCAATATTGATAATATAAGAAAGATCTTAGTAAAGAACCATATAATTAAGAGGGGGGGTTACATCTAAAACAAATTTTAACAAGCATTCTAATTTTCCTTTTTATTAGATTAATAGCAGGAATTATATACAGGAAAAATGTTTAAGTGCTTCAAATCTAGAGAAAAGGACTTAAAATAACTACACCAATACCATCCAAAATAATAGGCACTACATCTTCCATAATACAAGTCTCCTCAACTTGTTCAGACTTCAACATTGAAACTTAGATAAATTAATAAAAAAGATATTGCAATCAGATATTACATTTTTTATTTTCAATAAAAACAGACAGACTAGCAATGTCATTTCAAACGAAGTGTTAGGCAACGACGAAATGTGTCCTGCAAGTGTAACAGAGATAAGGATATCAAGATGGCATAGCAGCAACACTATCAAGGATAGAATAAGAAATAAATACATCCAGAAAGACTAACCCCAAAAGAAGATAAAATGATGGAATGTTGATATAGTTGGTTAGACCTAATGAAAAAGGACCAATAAGAGAACCAGCAAGAAGTAAACAGTGAGAACAGAAGACCCTAATTGAAAATGGAGACAAGCATCGAGTTAGTAAGAAGTAGTCACAAGAATGTAAAATTTGACTAAGAACATGACCATTGATAAAATTTCAATGGTAGAACAGGATTTGTTAAACTGACACCAAATAATTGGAACCAAGGTTGAAAATATCAATACAGACTGATACACCAGATGGGGTGTACCGGCATATTGGACTTTGTCACAGCACGTTATATTTTTTTAGTTTTTTTTTTTTTTTTTGAAAACTATGCAGGGAAGTTTGTTTAAGGATTGTCTACCCCCTGAAACACTGACTTTCGTGAATCAGTGACCTATTGATACGATACGTATCTACTGATAAGCGCTGGTACATTGCAAAATCTTGATCTTTGATTGGAACAAGGTATTTGTTTGTAGTTGCGACCATAGCTGATTATATTATAGAACTAGTCAAAACTTTAAAGACAATTGTGCTCCCAACAACTACAGTTACAAAAAGAAGAAATCCTCTCTTCCATATTGAAAGCTGCCTTCCACTCATCTCTTGTCAAACACAAATTTAATGAAACCCACTCTATAAATCAATATTTGAAAAGATTTAAGCACCATGTAACATATCAGGCATGCCACTCCATCATGTCATGGTAGTGGGAACTAGTATAAATTCATTAATTGCTGCTCTACTATCCATTATGCCAAGATCCAATTTCCTTTGGAGACAACAAATCTGGAAAAACACATGGGATCATTGACAATAGAATAAAACCCCCTTCCATCAATTCTCAGAACTTGCCATTGCAACTCTTCATGTTTCTAATAATGTGGCAAATTTGGTTAATGAGCACCTACCACTAGATTAAATGGTGCTAGAAATTCTTCATAGAAGATAATCCATTGGGTACATCTTCAGGTGCTACATCATAAACTCTCCTAGTATGGTTCCATCTCTCATGGCACTACCTTCTCTTCTATGCTGCAAGATCAAATTTTGAATTTTCACTAGAATACATATTATAGTATTGTATGGATTGAAAAAAAGAGGTAGAAAGAATAGATAGAAGAAATAGAGAAGAAAAAATACAAAGATTGGAAGAGAATAAAATGGGCCTGACAGAACCCAATGTGTTATTATATTAGGGTGAATTAAAAAATGAAATGACAAAATTACCCCTGCACCACTTAACATATTAGAACATTCCCCCGCAAGTTGGGTCATAAATGCCAATCAATCCCAACTTGTTACACAATTCATTATGGCACAGGATGTTTACACCTTTTGTAAAAACATCAACCAGTTGCTCCTTGGAACTAACATATGGAGTACAAACTTCACCCTTTCAATTTTCTCCCTAATGAAATACTAATTAACTTCCATATGTTTAGTTCAATTTCAATCATGAAGAACAGGGTTGGCAGCTATGTTAATAGCAGCCTTATTATAACATTAAAGTCATCAGTAAAAATAAGTATAACAACCAACCTTGAGAACCAAGTATCAAGAACATCTGGATCCTGATAGATTTCTACACCTTCCCCATACTTTTGGCGAGCTTTTTCTAGAGCTTCTTCAGCATTCCGAGCAACAATATATTCTTCTTCAGAATCTTTACCTGTAACATACCAAACTGGTATACGGTGCCCCCACCATAGCTGTCTGCTTATACACCAATCTTTAATATTTGATAGCCAGTGGTTATATATCTAAAATCAACAGAAAAGATCAAAGTTTTAAGAAACCAAGTAAACAAAAAAAAAATGAAGAGTAATCTTGACTGCAAAAAAGCAACTGGCACAATATGACATTGAGTTTAACAAAAAATATGACATTTGGGTGCTAATAGGAATGAAATGAAGATAATTAAATGGCTAACAAGAAATATGACACTGAGGTTACAATGAGTAAGGTCAGCTAATGCACTTGCTGATATTCTAGCTAAGCAAGGGGTGAATAGGGATCAATTGTAATTTGCATCTTTTACATTTTATGACAGGAGAGATTGCAGCTCACACCTCTCTTAGGGACGCTTGTACTGTTTTCATTTCTTGTTTTATAAAATGAGTTTGTCTATCAAAAAAATGCAATTGGCACAATATACACATTGATAAGTGGAAGAAAGAAACCCCACTCAATTGAAAAGAAAGCTCAATAATCTAATATTATCATGATTTATCATCGATACCACATAAGTGAGTCGAGAATCTTTTTCTTTTTCATTTTATATGTTTGGAGGGAATGGGAATCAATAACAAACTCAGACAGGTAATTAGAGTAAAATAAAAATATAAAGTAGGCAAAGAATCATGGAGTGTAACAATTGAATAAATCATAAAGTATAAAGCTAATACTAGGGCTTTCTGTTTGGACTTGGTGGGAGGTAATACATTTGAAAATCAATATTTGTGAAAAACTTCAAAAGAGGAAATTTGCTTGTCTTTATCCCACCTATTTGTTTTCTTTGCATTGCAAGCAGGAAAGCTACCTATCATCTACTAATTTTTTGCTTATTTATCACTAACATTTCAGATTAGTTCTTCCATTTCTGGTTGCAAGTGGGCTTCCCTCTAAAAAGACGGGAAGTCTATTTAGCTCCTCTTTCTTCACTATGTCCACAAAGAGAGGTAGGATAGAATGGAGATGTACATGGTAAATGGTTCTATGGACAATATGATTAGAGAGGAATGCAAGAAGATTTCATGGGAAGGCATAGAGCAAGGAAGATATTTTGGAAAGCATGTAACTTCAAGTGGTGCACTAAGTTAAAATGCTGCATGAATTTGCCCCATTTTCTATAGATGGCACCTTAGGAGCTGGGAATATCTGGCATCATCGAGATTAATTTCCCTTTTTTCAAAATCATTTAAGGTTTCCATCCTTTCTGAGGAACGAGACTTATTTCTCTTCCACCCCCCCTCCCCATTGTTCTTCTTCTAGCTCTAGAATGTCTGTCAACAATATCCTGTCCAAGCCCTTGCTGCCACGTGGCCTCCAACCTGCCACATTAGCACCATCTTCAACCTCTTGACCTTCCCTTCACAATGACGCTTCATGCTCCGTCATGATCCAGACCCTCGCCCACACACCCTTCGAGAAAACCTCAACGGATCAAGTGACATCTTCCGGCTTCACTCCGACAATTTCCACCATCACACAGCTGAGATTCATCATGCTGCAAGAAATGAAGATTCCTCCCTATTGCCGCCACTATCTTTTCCAGAATTGTTTTACTTCCAGAGGTTGAAAGGAAATCCGAATAACCTAAATCATGCCCAACTCAGTTTTGAAGACTCCTTGATATTACAGGAGATTGTCCAGCCATGCACCAAAATCACGCCCAACTCAGTTTTGAAGCTGTCGAACTCAATTGTTCTTCTTCAACAACCAGTAATGCTTCTCTTTTTTCTAAAGGGAAGATTGTCACTCCTGCAACCACTTGAAGTTTCTTTTTCAGAACGTTCAAAATGGCCCCCCAGTCCGTAACAACCACTTAATTTTCTATCCCTTCTTTTCTCCTCCGATCAATTTATCAACTTTCATTAACAGAAAATATTGAAGTTTCTGAGCAAACAACCTCCAACCCTATCCCTGTTTTCCTTCTAGAAGACAGGCCAAATGTTTTCTATTATTGCCACAGACCTCAGTCACAGCCACAAACCAACCCTTCTGATTAGATGTTTAAACCACCTGATATTTTCTCCCTTGAAATTCCAGCGAACTCATCCAACCAGTTTTCTTTAATGAAAATAGTGCTCCATTGATGAACCCTTTCAGCCACTATGGAGCTTCTTCTATTAAGAAAATAGTTGCTCTTCCTTCTTCTCTTAGTTTCAAAACTGAAAGATTTCTGCTTCCTCCTTCTTCAAGTATCAACTTCTTCGGTTCAATCGTTAACTGTAATCTCCATCATCTTTCTATGGAAAAAAACCTTTCCTTTCCTTTCACCTTCGTTTTTCGGGATTTTGAGAGAGGGGAAAGTTGGTCAATAGGATTTTGGTTCCCATTGACCAAGATGCCCATGTTCTTTTTTCAGATTTGTCTGGGGTCCATGGAAAATTTAATAATGGATTTCATTCAGGTAAGTGATGCCCATCTCTCAGGTGGGTAAGTAACTTTCCCACCTGGGGGGAAGTTGTCAACACTTGGATGGGGCAAAATTGCCCCTTTTAATAATGGATTTTTAGGGCTAAAACAGTCATTATATTATTTACCTGGGAAATAAAAGAATAACCAGGTAAGTGCATTTACCCAGGTAAGTAACTTCCCGAAAAGTGAGCAGGGCTTTAGTCAATAGACCAGCTAACTGATTTTCAGATTTAACAGAAGGAGTAGCTATATCACTACACGTAACTTTCTCCCTCATGAAATGACAATCTAATTTAATATGTTCAGTTCTCTCATGAAACTTGGAATTAGATTGTTATTGGGCAGCAGTTTGATTATCATAAAACAGATTGATAGGAACAGTAACCAATATGCCAATCTCCTTAGCCCTTTGTTCTGCTTTGGCATTGCTCCTGGACACTACACTCTGCATCTTATTCTTCCAAGTGATAAGATTTCCTCCTAGAAAGGTGCAGTAACCTGCAGTGGACCTTCTATCCAACGATGATCATGTCCACTCTGCATACACCCTTTCAGTTGCAGTCCATCCTCTTCTTATATAACAAACCATGTCCTAGAGCACCTTTGAAGGAACCTAGTACTCTAGTAACTGCCTCCCAGTAAGAGGTCCTGGGACTTTGTATGAACTGACTTAATACACCCACACTAAAAGAGATGTCAAGTCTAGTAATAGTTAGGTAATGCTTGTACAAGAATAATACAAATATAAATTCTGAAAGAAAATAAGATATTTCAAAATTTCTAACACACTTGGTTAGATTATATTATTAACACAAGTTTGATGCCTTTACATTGAAAATCTACATTGGCTTACAAGTTTAAGCTCTAAGCTTCTAAGCACAGATGCAACCTACAATATAGTAGCTTACATATATAACATCAATTTTCAAGGTTAATTCAGCAGTATATAGCAACAAGCCATGTGAAAAGCACTTGGTGAGGCACACCCTATTAAGTGAATCTCACCTACGAATCTAAGCATGAATTCTAAAATACTGACTAAGATGAGGATGGTCTTGAAATATTAGGGCAAGGCAGTTGAAATTACAAAACAAAAAAAATGTACAAATGTTTAATAAATAAAAAAGCTCTTCAGTAATATTTACCTTCTCAAATCTTTCAGGCATTATAGTTATCTGTCCATTTTCAACTGCACGGAGGGCCTTTTCTGCCAAGGGCTCCATGCTAACAAACCATTGCTTACTTACTAATGGCTCTATTACCTAATAACAATAAGAACATTCTATGAGCAGATCTTGCGCAAAAAGGGGCAACAATACAACTTCATTTTTTTCTCAAAATTTAAAGAGCAACATTTGAGAAGAATATCACACTTCTCCACCACGTTGGGATCTGGGAACTCGTGAAGTGTGGGGCTCCTTTCTCACGGCTAGACCTGTCTCCTCAAGATCTGACCATAACTTTTTCCGTGCCTCAAACCGATCAAGGCCACTGATAAACATGATCAACAATCAATGGGCAAAATATAGAAAGCATTTAACCAAATATAATACAGTTTTAATAGTCTATTTCTTCAACAACTTTACCAGTACAGACCAGCAACCTCATTTAGTGTCCCATCCTTGTTCATTACATTAAGTATTGGTAGACCAAGCTTTCTAGCAAGCAGGTAGTCATTGTGATCATGACCTGGGCTTATCTTCAATACCCCAGTTCCAAACTCTTTATCAACATACTGTCACAGTTTCCGTTTTCAATATGGTAATGAGTATTGATAATGAGAAAAAAATAATAAAATATCTAGCAAAGTGCCTTCCATGAAAACATTCATTGAAAAGAAAAAAAAAAGTTATTATATACAAAAAGCCATTGCCATGGAAACTATTCTAGTCATTTCATCCCTACTTAGCATGAAAAAAAAATTCAAAACCATATTTCGGGATTTTTTGTCTGGGCGAGCAGGAGAGTTATGTTTGAAGTGATTTGAATTGCGAACCATGCCAAACCAACTACACCTTCCTCCTCCCCCATCCAGTGCACAGTACTCCAAAACTTAGGAGCCTTTTAAATTTGGTAACCTAATTACAAAGTTTCATACCCTGCACCCTGCTCCACTCTACAATTTGTTCACTAAGATAAAGAAAGCCCTTGCAATTTCCAAGAATTTAATTATGTTGTGATTTCAAGATAGCATTTTTTTTTTAGCTGCCAAGTGAATTTAGGAGGCAAAGATCAGGATTGGCATGAGGTACTGTATCAACATTGAGAGCATTTGACAAACCTTACAGGTTGAAATTTTCAAATATAGGTGGTATCTTGACATTTCCTTTTTACCTGGTAGGTAAACTAAGGTTGAACTTCATGGAAGTCAATACAACAATTCAGATACAAGCTTGACCCAAAAGAAGCCTTAATATGATAATGGCAAGGGCAAGGCAAGATGAAGAAAAAAAGTTCCAATAAGAAAATAACACAAACAATATTGGGTACATTGGAGGAGAGGCTCCATAGGCTTTCTAGCTAATAAACCAAATGCCTCTTCCAGATGGATTAGAAGATTGAGCAAATTCCTTAACTGACAAGCAAGAAGAGATGGAGTAAATCTGGTAGAACTTTATCGGGGACCTTTCATTTCTTGGTAAGCAAAGTGGACTTGTTTTGTACCAATGAACTTGCACACTAGTAACTGTGGCCAATCATTTTGTCTTCCTATAATGAAAAGCTTTGGCTTTGAGGATCTAATAAAAGTTCACAGATATGTTAATGACTAAAAGACAATATTGTGTAAATTTTTTCCATAAAATATCATGAATATTTACCCTATCAGAGATAATGGGGACATGCCGGCCAAATGTCATGGGTACAATTGCCTGCCCTCCAATATACTTTGAATAACGATTGTCCTGCATATAATAGTGATCAGATAAACCATTATCAGAAGTCATACAGCATACACCACAGAATGAAATACTACAAGAATAGATCATTAAAACATTGTGAAGAGAGAGAGAGAGAGAGAACAGTCTGGTCAGTAATATTATCACAACAACGTAGAGACAATATATGGATTTTGAGAAACAAAAGAAAGAGGACGAGATGATGGTGCTTTTTTTAAAACATGGTTGTCCAGGCTTCTCTGGGACCAGGAGGTTTCTCACATTCAACACCTAACATGATAAGTCTAAAGCAGTCCACACAGTGTTTTAAAAGCGCAAGGCACAAAAAAAGTGCTAGGGCCAATTTGCGCCTGAGGCACAAGGCGAGGCGTTCGCCTTTTTAAGAAAGGCGCAAAATTACAAAAAAAAAGCTAAAAAATAAAAAAAAAAGAAGAAAATTCCAAAAGAATGCCAAAAATTTTAAAAAAAATGCAAAAAATTAAAAAATATTAAACATAATGTTAATAAAAATATAAAATTAAATTTTAAAAAAAATTATTTAAAAAACCTATTATCTAAAATTAAAATACATAAATATAACATGTAAAGTATATTCAAATGAAAATTTAAAAATAAAAGCAAACATATAAAGAATTTTCAAGCATGTAAAACCCACAATCTCTTTTTTTCCTTGATTGCATTGCTTCAAGTAGTTAGTGTGATGTAAAACATATTGCATTCTTGATTCTATGAGTTGCCTTTGTAGCATGCCCCTCGAGGCAAGCCCGAACTAGTATATGTTAGGGTCTGAAAGAGGTGCGCCTAGGACCTAGCCAAGGCGCATACCCCAAAATGCGCCTCACCTGTACGCCTAGGCACGCCTGAGGCACGCCTTTTAAATCACTGGGTCCACATGATTACCTCATCACCCTTTCCATTGTGGAAACAGCCCTATAAAACACCACTGGTTGTGAAGGAAAATAAGGGTCTACTTATAATTTGCCTTCCAAAAAAAGTAAATCTACAAGCAGTTGTCCATGAGGAAAAAAGCATAATATAATGTGATTATGATTATCATGTAGAAAGGGAACCATCCACATTGGCAACTTAGAGGATAATCTATCTGGCCACCATTATTTGTAATACCAGTGAGATTTGCTGAAATCTCCCCATTTTTTATAGCAGGCAATACGAAATATTCCAAGAATCATCTTGGGGTAATTTCAAATGAGGTCGATAAATTAAACATGTTAGATTTGAAAGTTCAGAACATCATCAAAACTTTTTAACATTTCATTAAAATTGTTGAAAACTTTTGGAAAATCTTTTCCTGAAAAAACAAATGGGGATTCAGTGATGGGATGATTGGCCTATTATCACCAATCTAATTCACAAGTCACAATAATTCAAAAAAAAAAACAAAAAAGAAGAGGAAGAAAGAAAAAGAGACGAAACCGGAAAAGGAGGGCTCTCAAATCTCAATCTAATAAAAACATATGATAATAACAAAAGACAGGAACCAAACTGACAAATGTTTGGTTAAAAGACACACAAGGAGAAAGAGAGAGAGAGAGAGAGAGAGAGAGAGATCTATTTAAGTCTCTTAACCTTCTATCAATTGATAAACACAGTCCCATTTAAAGTTTTTAAGTCTTAAGCTTGAAATAATACTTCCTCTAACAACTCATTAAGTTTCATTAACAAATTTCATGTTTTTACTAATTTACCAATTTTTTTAGAATTTCCAAAAATCCTAGTCAAATTAGCAAGATGTAACCAAATTTTCCACCATTCCTACATGGAAAATTGCCCACTGATTGAACCATGTTGGTCACTACAATTGGCTAGCCTCCTATGTTAAGGAAAAAGGATATGTTCTCAGAAATGTATGCAATAACCATCAACAGAACCTTTTTGTTGCATTTGGTACCATTCATTATCTCTCAAACTTCTGCTTTGTTTTTCTCTTCCCTCTCTTCCTCCTCTTTTTGCAGGTCGATTTCTCCCTCAAACTACAATTTCCATGATGACTTGTAAATCAACATGGAAGAGGGATTTTAACCTTGAAGCAGAATGAAAGAGCCCAAGAATGTGGGAAAAGGAGATAGGGATTGAAAAGGATTGGTAGAATTGGCTATTTACTCACAGAGCAGGGTATTTTGGCACAATAGATTTTTTGGTTCAAAGAGTCAGCTTTTAGCAGAGAGGAAACAAAATAAAAACAGGTTTCTGAGCATTACTGAGAGGTCTTCTGAAATTTTGTGTAAGATGATTTACATTCCAGAGGGGAGAAGATCTTTTGGTTGTGGCTTGTTTTCGGACATCCTTCAGCAACTTTTTGAATGGAAATTATTGAAGGCCTTGAAGGAGAAAGTTTAGTTGGCCGAAAACAAAGGGAAAGAAGATGTAGGTAGTCAAACGTGTGCTGGTAGATTGGTGAATCCAAAGGCTAGTGTTCAGGAAAGTCTTCATATGTGGGAAAGGCAGAAGTTATTGAATATGAGAGTCTCAGTGAAACCTTTTGATCAGAATAAGGTTGTGATTTTCCTTCCTACTGACCAGGAAGTGTAAAGAAATCAGTTTCTTCTGAGTTTGGCTCTATACTTATTTCAAGATGGAGCCCGACCGCAAACATGGTTTTGATGCATCACTCAACAGATTGGATTCAAATTGGCATTACTCGTCTTCCAATTAATCTCTGGACAGAAAAGACACTGAAATTGTTGGATATTTGTATGGGACATTTTTAGAGGCCAGTAAGGAGTCGTTAAATTTTGAAGATCTTCATGTTTCAGTCATTAAAATTGTGGGAAGAAGGCCTGAGTTAATGTCGAGGTCAGTAGAGTTGCTGCATGGTGGTTTGAGGAACAAACTCTGGATCCTGTCAAACATAGAGTTGTATATTTGGCAGGGGAAGCGAAAAGAAGACAATGATGATGTAGTTGAGGACGGAATACATGGAAAAGCTTTATTGGATGGTGTGAATGCATGTGTTATTGCAAATCAGATGGAAATGATAACAGGAATGGAAGATGAAATTGTAAATTCGCAAGGTAATGGGAAAAAGGGTTGGTTAGCTAGGAAGCTAATGGGGGTGGAAGTTGAATCAGCTATGAGTTTGTCGAGAGGCATCTTTAATGAGGGCCCTACAGATTCTGAATTTATTAGGGGTGAAAAGAAACATGGAGATGAGTTCATTGGAGTTGAAGAATTCAGTTGGGCTCAATGGGGTGGCCCACTTTTTGATATCTCTGGGCTAGTGGAGTGTGCTAAGTCAAGGGGCGGGTCACTTGTCTTGTTAAGGGGGCATGTGTCTTCAAAATATCAAATATGGGAGGGGAGATAATTGGAATCTAAAGTGAAAGTTTTGGAAAATAAACAAATTGATAAAAGGTCAGGGGTTGCTGTGGTTTTTTTTTCTTGGGGGGGGTGTTAAAAAAGGGTTGGTTAGTTAAGGAAGCCAATTTACAACAATGTCATTATGACATTTAAGATCAAGTTAAAAAGGATAGGAAGGAATGGAAAGGTAACAATTTAAAGAAAGGTAAGAGTGGGTGGTTTCCAGGTTCATGCAAAATGAAGAGAATGGGATTTTGGAAGATTTGGCAAGACTTCTCAACAAGGATGGGAAAGTGTACAAGGCATATCAGGAAAAACTCTATTTGAGTCTCAAGAGATTGAAACCAGCAAGTCAGTGGACCCTTCCAACGGTCGAAATTGAAAAAGAAGAAACAGGGGTGAATGAGTGAAAACTTCAACAATCATAGATCTGTATGTCGGAAAGGAATACCGTGGTAGAAGAAGATGCAAAAAGATAATGGCACAGTTTCAGTGGGGAGTTTAGAGGTCAACAATCAGGATAATGTGATGGTGGTTGCAAACATCATCAATCTGGAGGATAATGATGATTGTGACCTTGCTAGAAAATCTGATAAGGTTTTCTCTGAAGTGATTGTGGGCAAATTAGGCAAAACCCAGGACAATTAACAGATAAAGGGGGTGGAGCTTTGATATTTCACAAGAAACCATTAGGTTCAACCAATGGACACTTAGTACATGAAATTAAAGTGTTCTCAAGATTGAAGGATAGATTTGTTGGGGCAGGAACAAGTGACAGATTCTGGAGGATTTACAAGAAAAGGGAATGATAATCAAAGAATGAAACCAAAAGGATCCTGGCAATCAAGAGTGTTCAGTTTAGGATAACATTTCAATGGATAAGGAAACCTTTTCAATGAAAAGTTACAAGACCAGATTGCCCCTGTTTAGTCAACTCTAACACTCTCCCCTCAAGCTAGAGAGTATATGTCATATAGTCCCAGCTTCTTACATATGTAATCCACTCTCCCACGACTCAATCCTTTTGTAAACAAATCTGCCTACTGATTTCCTGAGCTCATGTCCTCTGTGCTTATTACTCCAACAAGGATCTTTTCTCTTACAAAATGGCAGTGAACCTCTATGTGCTTTGTCCTCTCATGAAAAACTGGGTTGTCAAATATAATTCAGAAATATTCCAACCATAATAGATCTTTGATTGACTACTACAAAATCTGAAGTTGAGGTTAAATTTGATATGATCTACATAATTGACCTAATGAGGAAAATCAACTAAAAGAAGTCCAAAATTTATTTTTCTTGACATAAAATTTGATAGGCTTTAATTTCACAATGTACCGAAGATCAGTTTATATTGACTTCCCAGTCAACCATCATCAAAAGAATGAAAAACCCTACCTCAGGATGCACTGCTATAGCAGTATCACCAAATAATGTCTCCGGGCGTGTTGTTGCTATTGTTAGATACTCACTCCTTCAACATGAAAGAAAAACACAATTAATGATATTTGTAAGAAAGGGATATTATATGAATATGATTAAACAAGATAATGTCAAAATACACCACACCCAGTAATTCTGCATACCAAAATTGCAGCAATGAACCTGGAAACCAATGTCCACCATTTTGTTTCTAAAACCTCGAGAAATACCTTCTAATATGAAAATGGAATACCATATAGAATTACCAAATTAAAATCTCCTAAAGGTTGTTAATTGATGCAAATACATCTCCTACACCTAAACTTAAATCATGGAAGATAAGAATTGTAACAAAACCAAGAAAATTTTCTAGGTTTGCATGAGCTTATAGAAAGGTCTGCAAGTAGTCATTGCTTTGTATCTGACTATTGAATCCTCTTGAAACATCACCTCAACCATTTTCTTGCCATTGTGAACCTATTCCTTAAGTATTTTGAAAATAAAATTAGTAAAAGCATATCCATAGACAAATTTACCAGAAGTGGATACAAACTCCTAAAGTATTTTGACACCAAACCAGTAAAAGCAAATCTGTTTGATTATGAAATATCAGCCAGATGTTCATTGATATCAAAATTGCAAACCATGCCATAAACAAACGCAAGCATTAGATGTAAAGTGGAAAGCCATCAATGCTAGCTCAATCATCTAAACAGTTGATAAAGTTCTGCCATGGCTTAAAATGTATAAATATTTCTACGAATTATTTGGAACCGACACGAAATATTACTCAAATATAGCTCAACATATTATCTAGTGTTTTAAAATTGTTTGTATTGTTTTGAAGAAAGTTTACCATGTTAATTATATAAATATAAGGCTTTTAACTTACATGTACATAACCATCAACCAAATAATTTGTTTTAATATTATTCTTTTATTTTCAAACCCATTACTTTTCAAGCTAATCATTAGATCTGACTTTCTTTGTCTTTTTTTCTTTATATAACTATACATATACTAATGATACAATTGATGCTTAAATATTTTATACTTTTGTGAAAGAATAAATGAAATAATAACATAAGAAGCAAGTACATATTTAAATAAAAAATTTACATTAAATAGATCATAATTACGAAATATTTCTAAATAAAATATCAAAAGTGAATTGTTTGACAGCTGTGCTTAGGTAGTCCGAACCAGTAGAGAGAAGGGAGGAAGAAGAAGAAGAAGAAGGAAGAAGAAGATGAGTCGAATCTGATAGGTAAACCCTATCAGTCGACCATAATTTAGATTAGCCTCTAAATTAGTTGTACAAAGACTAAACTGCCCCCACTTAAGTAGGGGACAGAAAGTCTCTATTAAAACAGCTACATAAGCACATAACTTAACAGAAATAAAATGACTAATCTACCCTTATTTAGCTACCTCTAACACTCCCACTCAAGCTGGAGAATACATGTCATATAATCCCAACTTATTACATATATAGATCACTCTCCCTGAGTTTAAACATTTTGTAAACAAATCTGCCCATTGATCACCCGAGCCTACATGTTTTGTGCTTATCTCTCAAGTAAGGACCTTCTCCCTCACAAAGTGGCAATCAATCTCTATGTGCTTTGTTCCGTATACCCAATTACCTCAAGTCTTCCTCCTGGTTTATACAATAATCCACGGCCTAGAGCTCCTTTCAGATACCTTACAATTCTAAGAACTACATCCCAGTGAGGTATCCGAGGGTTCTGCATAAATTGGCTCACCACACTGACTGCAAAGGAGATGTCTGGTCTTGTGATGAACAAATAGTTCAGCTTCCCCACTAACCGTCTGTATCTTCTAGGATCATCAAATATTTCCCCTATATCATTGCTTAACTTAGCATTTGGCTCCAATGGGAGTTTCAGCTGGTTTTGCACCTAACATCCCTATTTCATCCAGCAGATCAAGAACATATTTTCTTTGGCACAAGTTTACACCTTGTTTTGATCTAGCAACTTCTATACCCAAGAAATACTTCGACGTCCCAAGGTCTTTTGTTTGAAAATGGTTTTGCAGAAAGACCTTTAGTTTATCAATCCCCAATTTGTCGCTGCCAATTATGACAATATCATCCACATAGACCACTAATAAAATCTTTCCAGCTTCTGAATCATAGYTGAACACCGAGTGGTCAACCTGACATTGTTTCATTCCAAAATTCTTCACCACTTCACTAAACTTCCCAAACCAAGCACGAGGCGATTGTTTCAACCCATAAATTGCCCTTTTCAATCTGCACACCTTACCATCCTCCCCCTGAACAACAAACCCAAGTGATTGCTCCATATATACCTCCCCCATAAGGTCACCATGAAGGAAGGTATTTTTAATGTCAAGTTGAAACAAGGGCCAATCACACATAATTGCCAGGGAAATTAAGACACGGACAAAGCCAATCTAAGCCACTGGAAAGAAGATCTCAATATAGTCCACCCCATACAACTGTGAATAACCTTTAGCAACAAGTCTAGCCTTCAGACGCTCCACACTACCATCCGGCAAGTATTTAACAGTATACACCCATTTACAACCCACAACATGCTTACTAGGAGGAAGAGTAGTGAGCTCCCACGTTTGAGTATGCTGAAGGGTAGAGAGTTCCTCTTCCATTGCCTACCGCCACCCAAGTGAGGTAAGAGCCTCCTGGACATTCTTAGGTATAGAAATAGATGACAATAGTGAAACAAATTGACGATGTGAAGCGAAAAGGCGAAAGACTGAAACAAAATTGGAAATGGGATGGAGGGTAGAACTACGTTTACCTTTCCGTAAAGCAACGGGAAGACCAAGTCCTTAAGGTTTTGGGACAGGAGCAACAACAGGATCCGCAAACAAGGTAGAAGCTAGAGGAGGAGCCGGTGTCTGTCGATGAGTATACACGTGCCGGATTAGTAGTCGTTCAGTAGGGGTCTGCACTGGAGGAGGTGAAGGGTCAGCCCCAACTGGAACAACCGGAACGGGATCACAGATTGGAAGAGAAAGAGGAAGCAAAGGTGGGGACACCGATACTTCAGGTCCCAAGAAGAAGGGGATAGACTCAAAAAAGGTGACATCAGGACAGACATAGCACTTTCAAGTAATGGGATTGTAACACTTATACCCTTTCTGGGTCCGAGAGTAGCCAAGAAAGACACATTTAATAGAGCATGCATCCAGCTTGTCTATCCCAGGACTCAGATTGTGAACAAAGAACACACAGCCAAAGACTCGGGGTGTTAATGGAAAGGGAGACAAGGTGGGGAACAAGATAGAGAAGGGAGACCGACCATGAAGAATGAAGGAGGATATCCGATTAATAAGGAAACAAACAGTAAGTATAGCATCATTCCAAAATCGTTTAGGAACACTCATATGATGAAAAATATCACTGAGTAGATTCAAGGAGATGATGGTTCGTTCATTCAGCCACCCCATTTTGCTGAGGAGGTGCACATGAAGTTTGATGAATGATGCCATGTTGTTCTAAATACTGTTGAAAGGAAGTAAGAAAGTATTCATGACCGTTATCTGAACGAAGAACTTTGATTGGAACAGCAAATTGTGTATGTATTTTAGCATGGAATTTTTGAAAAATGGAAAATAATTCACTCCTTTCTTTCATTAADTAAATYCATGTCATYCTTGAACAATCATCAATAAAAGTGACAAAATACTTGTAACCATTATAAGACTATTTTAATCGGACCCCAAACATCTGAATGAACCAAAGGAAAAGGACTCAACATACGAATAGTAACCCTAAGACTGAAGGGAACCTGACGATGTTTCCCATACTGACACGACTCACACTGTAAAGACGACAAATGCCATTGTAGAGAAGTGAGTGAAGTCTGAAGTGCAACTAACGATCCACCACTGTTCCAATCGACAATGCCGCGGGACGTGTTGGGCCATGCCGGCCCGTGGACCTAAAACCCTAGGCCCAATACAGCCTGCATGATTGTGCCAGGCCTAGCACGACCCACAGAGTGTCGTGGCGAGCCATACCGGGCCGGTCCAAGTTCATGTCGGGCCGAGGGTGGCACGACCCGATTTACACCTCTAGATGATCCACCACCGTCAAGATAATACAATCCACCAGCCTCATGCCCCCCACCAATCTTCTTCCCCGTCTTGAGATCCTGAAGAACACAAAAGGGAAAAATGTAATAGAGCAATTAAGAGTCTTAGTTAATTTACTGATAGACATAAGATTGAATGGAAATTTAGGTATATATAGAACAAATGATAAAGAAAGAGAAGCTATGTCAACATTACCAACACCACAGATGGGAGAAGAGGAACTGTTGGAAAGGGTAATAGTTTGAGTTGTTGAAGTTTCAGAGAGGGAAGATAACACACCTGGAGTCCCAATCATGTGATCAGAGGCTCCATAGTCAATAATCCAGGGAGAGGGTTTGGATGCCAGACAAGCTATACCTGAGTGTGCAAGGGTGGTTGTAGTATGCTGTGAAGTAGACTGGAGGAACCTTTCATACTCATCGCACGGTACACTCACCATCTCCTTCCTGGAAACAGATGTAGATGTGGAAGGTGTTAGATTTGCCTATTGGTTATCAATGACATCAACCCCACTAGCTACTACATGATTAGCCCATGTAGAAGGTGGAACATGGAGATCATAACAAAAATTCACCGAATGTTCGTCCCTACCACAATGGGTATGCTTCCTAGTAGAGTTACTTTTTTCCTTTACCACGGCCTCCCCCTGAGACACGACCACCACCACAACCAAATATGGAACCACCACAACCGCCTCGGGAGGCATGTCCTCCCCCTCTAGTACCACATCCACCTCCTTTAGCTATCACAAATGTTGATTTGTCAGACGGAGTGGGATTCTCTATAGATCCCAAAGAAATCCTACGAAACCGTGCTAAAACTTCCTCAAGTGTAGGAAGAGTAGAGCCTCCCAATATTTGGGCCCTAATTGGTTCATACTTTGATTTTAACCCCACTAAGAACCTAGTGACATCTAGTTGCTCCCTCTGTTGTTGTTGAACCTTA